GCACCACACATTTGCAGTGTTACCAGTTTTGCGCAAGACTGCTGTTTTGGCTTTCTCATTAGTGCTGCTACTTTTTTCTTGCTCCAGAACAGCTTGATTAAACTACGATTTGCCAAAAGAAATAGAATTGTGGCTGCAAATAAAGTTATTGGCACCAAAGAGGGATTGGAGTGGTTGTGCATCACTGGTTAAAGGGGTCTCATTAAGGGGTGGCAATGAGAGTTTGGTGTAGAAATTGGGAGGATTTGCCCACAATTTAAGAGATGCAAGCAAATTTCACTCTTGTGTAAGACCTCTGTTAAGCAAACAGAAATGGGTGTTGCGCCCCACAAAAAAAGCACATGCCTCCATTTTGCTCATTGTGAGGCATGTTAACAAAGGATGGTGACATTTGCTTTTGTGGTATTGTGCAGGTTGGTTGGTTGGTTGGTTGCTGTAGTGGAAGTCTGGACAGGGTTTTCCACTAACACAACTGGACTTGCCTCTCTTCCCCCACAAAATGTTCTGAAATTGGCTCTGGTGGGGGTTCGGAGGATTCCAGAACAGCTCAAGGATGGGAGGAGATAGGGGATTGTTCCATCTGGCAAGTTGAAAAGATTCTGCTGACAACAGTTGCCGTAGTGCTACATTGAATTGTTGCTTCAGAACATCCAGCACCAACCAAACTGTGTTTTTGCTTTATAGGCTAAGGCTGCAAAAATAATAACTGGAAGATGAAGACTCTTGTTACCACCGTTTTGATCGCCACATTTGTTCTGACTTTGTTCAGCCACTTTGGTAAATATGCAAGTGCGCTATTAAAAATAGTGTGAACTTAGAGCAAGGCACTGAGCAGAGGAGGTGGGCTTCACAAAAAGGGGTTCAGGGGCTGGGAGAGAAATGTGGACTTGAACAGTTGTTGCTGGTATTTCCCCTAAAGAGTAATAGATATGGGGGGCGGTTTCTGGTGGGCTATGATTCTAGTAGGCCAAGGAGGACTTGCTTAATTTTGACTTCTGGAGGCAAACCTACTGGGATGTGGTAGGTTCTTCCTTTGTAGGTAGGTAGTTCTTCAGAGATGCCAGCCACTGCTTATGGCTCATAGCTTAATCTATACTTGTGATATTATACTTGCGGTATTGCTGTTGAAACTGGTTTGTGCTGACTCCAGCTGTATTGTAGTCAGATCTTCTAGAATTGAATCGGGAACTCTAGAACAGACTTCTTCATATGGCTCTTTTGCATACATACTAGATTATACTTGGTTCCCTCAATGAGAAAAGCCTTGCATTAATGCCACAAACTATTTTTATTTATTTGGTTCAAATTTATAACTCCTTTTTTCCTTTCCATGGGAAACCCGTGATGACACACAATAAAATTACATAAAGTTGTTCAAAACAACATTAGAATACAATGATACAGGCAGGGATGTTCCTCCAGAGGTAGTTGGACTCCACATCTCATATATTTTGCCTATGCTGACAGGACTGATGGGTTTTGAAGTCCAGTAATCTCTGGAGAGGGATGCGGGTGGCGCTGTGGGTTAAACCACAGAGCCTAGGGCTTGCTGATCAGAAGGTCGGCGGTTCGAATCCCCCAGACGCCCATTGCTCTGTCCCAGCTCCTGCCAACCTAGCAGTTCGAAAGCACGTCAAAGTGCAAGTAGATAAATAGGTACTGCTCCGGCGGGAAGGTAAACGGTGTTTCTGTGCATTGCTCTGGTTCACCAGAAGTGGCTTAGTCATGCTGGCCACATGACCCGGAAGCTGTACGCCTGCTCCCTCAGCCAATAAAGTGAGATAGATGAGCGCTGCAACCCCCCCCCCCAGTCGGTCACAACTGGACCTAATGGTCAGGGGTCCCTTTACCTTTACCTTAATCTCTGGAGGATTGTAGCTTCCCCTGTTGGAAGGGCAACAGAGATCATTCTGAGTGCAACTTAAGGATGAATTCTATTGTTACTGTTAAAGTGAACTAGGTGGTGGTGGGGAGTTTTACATAGCAACCAGGTAAGGTGGCGTGATCTTTACTAAAGCAGTATGTGCTCTGATGAGCTGTGACATCTGATATGCCTTTGCAGTACGCTTAGACACTTTTAACTTATCTTTTAATTATTTCTACATCAATATTGTAGTTCAAGCTTGTTACCAGGAATCTAGTTTCATGATGGAAGCCTGCAATAAGACCATCTTCTATTCTCCTCCCCTCTTTCATTTAGGAGCTGCCTTAAAATGTTATCAGTGTCTGGATGGTATAGGTCCATGTAAAACGAACGTTACATGCTCGGGTGATACTGATTCTTGCATATTGGTAAACTTGGGTAAGTATGCTGCCTTATCTGATTCATAATAATAATAATAATTTATTATTTATACCCCGCCCATCTGGCTGGGCTTCCCCAGCCACTTGTGTAACTTGTGATTAAGCACAATTTTAAAAGAACTATTTTCTTTACTTCATTATGGTCAGCACTTGTATTTTATGCATTTTTTCCTCCCAACTCACTGAAGTGAGGCCTTTTCTTCAAATTATTTTAGGGATAGGTTGTTGAGATTGCATTGGTTTAAATATGGCATTAGGCAAATTTAATTGTCCTGCTTCTGACTCTTCTCTCCCCATCCTCATTAACATTCTTCATTAACTGCTGGTTGTACACCTAGCATTGTACTTTTTGGGTACATTTGATGATGTGGAAGTCTCTGGGCTGATTTAATTAGATGAAACATTAAGGGAAGGTGGTAGGGGTCCCTGAGCATTTTAAAGTTGGGCAATCCATGAGAATGGATGTAACCTAATACTTGTAAGAAAATTAGTTTATCTTTCTTGGATTGTACCACCAAAAGTAGAGCTCTCTCCCTGAGACACTGTTCTTGATATGGTGATACATTTTTTTGGAACATGAAAGTGAACTTAAAATGTTTTCATAATAAATGCATATTAAAAACAAATGTTGAGTGATAAATCATACAAACTACATCTTTTGTACTTAAAGAAGTAAAGTAGGTCTTGGAATCAATGTGAAATTATTGTACACATTTTCATTTCCCCTTAATTTTCTCCTTTGCCCCTGTGCAGAGAAGCAAATGGGTGTTGGATGGTTATTTTGGCTTGATACTATTCCCTTTGTTACTGGAATAGGAAGCTGGCTGCTTCTTCAAATAGCTCTTGTAAAGTAAACTATCTCAAATAAGATTTGGGGGCCAATACATGGTTTATTTTTTTCTTTTTAGATGCTGTCTCTATATTTTTATCACAGTATTTTAAAAGCCACCTTGCGTGTTTTGAACAGATAGGCAATATTTTTTAAAATAACTGTAAGGAAGGTATGGAAGGCTTAAATAGACATTCTTAAACTCTCCTCCCCCTCCCCCAATTTTCTTGCTCAGCAGGAAAGTAAACTACTTTCCATAAAATCTTGTTTTTGTGTTTTTTTTAAGGTACTGGAAGAAATATCTCTACGTGCTGGAAATACTCCAACTGTGAAATTGACTTTATTGAGAAAGAATTCAAGACTGGAAACTTCAAATTTCATTGTTGCCAAAAAGATTTGTGTAATGGCAGCCCAATTACAGCAGGTAGTAAGATGGTCCTTGGCTTAACTTCTGTGCTGATCGCAATCCAGATGCTCAGCTTCTGATCTGGAGTAGGAAATACTTTGAACAAAAAGAAGTCATTTCATACCTATTGACAAATAGCCTTGTAAGAGAGAGCACCACACATTGAGAACAGAGACCGAATAAATCAGGGAAAATGGAAAGTAGAATAGCAAAACTTGTTTACTACATTGTAGTCACTGCATTGTGGGTTTTTCTTTGTGGTGCTTCATTCTACTTGTAAACTTGTATCACTTTTGTGCACTTCAACTTTTCATAGCGGAGGTTTTGAATCTAATGAAACTGCCAACTTATTTTTCATCTTTTCCTATCTGTAAGACTTTTATCTCAATAATAAAAGTGTCTACTTGACATTTGAACTGCATACCCTTTCATCATGGGCCTCTCTTTCCACACCACAACTTGCAACCAGTTGCACCCGTAGAAAGCATATCTTTGCTGTCTGCTGTCAAATACACTTACGGTTCCTATTCTTTCTTTCCAACATGGCTATAAGGAAGTATTTCTAGTGAGGCATATTTCACATGGTGGGTAAGAGTTCAGAAGGCATTATTTGGACAGTCCTAATCTCCACTTCATAAGTTTCCTCATGCCAATGCTGCAGTAACCTTGTAGTCCAGTGACCCTGAGCAGCGTCTTGTGACATCCCATCACGGGTCCGAATGTATTATTGTGCTCTAGGATTAAATGGGGCAGCATTTCAGACAATGTTTTATCTAGATCTGCAGCTCACAGATAATATAATAGACACTCACTGTCTAGTGCCAATTTTTCTGTGTGTTCTGTTTAACTTGCCTGCCAACAATCCCTGGAATCTCGGTTCTGCAGCACATGTTTAACTTACCCAACAACCATGATGGGATATTTTATAATTCGCTATACAAACAGCAGCTTGGTTGGTGATGTTTTGTTGCTTTTATACTTGTTTATGCACAACCTTTCACATGTTTAAAATATTTCTAAAACCACAATGGCACTCTCACTCAATAAGTCGTGTCCCTTGATAAGGGTTGCTAAATTAGTTGAAATGCTCTCCAACTATGAGTTCAGAGCAATGATGGGGATGTCACTGGCCATTTATTAGTGTCACTGGATAACATGAAGGTTACTTGAACACTGCCCAATAGTCCCCTGCTGCGAGAAGCCAAGTTACAGGGAACCAGGCAGAGGGCCTTCTCGGTAGTGGCACCCGCCCTGTGGAACACCCTCCCACCAGATGCTTTCTAAAAGTTTGGTAGCTATTTTTCTCTTTGACATCTAAAGGCAGCCCTGTTTAGGGAAGCTTTTAATGTTTAATAGATTATTGTATTTTAGTGTTTTGTTGGAAGCCGCTCAAAGTGGCTGGGGAAACCCAGCCAGATGGGCGAGGTATAAATAAATAAATAAATATATTATTATTATTATTATTATTATTATTATTATTATTATTTTATTATTTATTATTATCCATGCCAAAGCTGCTATAGGATACTGGTTCACCAAAGCTGTCATGTTTAAAAGTAGGGACCCATCACAAATTTTGCACAAGTGGGTAGATGGAAATGAAGGTCATTTTCAAGGCAATGTGGATAACATGTTGCTACCCGAGACGAAATAGGCTACCTTTAGGAAACTGCTGAAGCTTGTTTATTAACCTTTTTGGATAGGCTTTAAATCAAAACGAAGGCAAGGAGATGTGCTATAAAACATAACAGAAATGGAACTCCCATGTTGAAGGCTAAGGTGTTGTAAAAGAACGCAAATAATTACGGCAGAAACATGACTCTGGACTTCAGTATACTTAACAAGGTACCTAATAATTTTCAATATAAAATCTATGGTTTAAATTGAAGCCCCCAATTATACATGCAAAGTTATTCAACTCCTCCATGGTGGGTGGATCTATTGCAGCTGGCAATTCCTTTCTCCTGGAAAAACAACAACATAAGATTGTGGAACCCATCACAATGATGTAGCACAGGAGTTGCAGCCACCTGTCTCTGGAATATGAGTAGCCCTTTCCTTACAGATAAGTATACTTGCTTGCACAAATAGTTTTAGATCCATGCCCCCCTTTAAAATATACCTAAAGCAACTCCTTATGGTTAATAGTACAATAATGCTCATGTATAAACAAACTATTATTAACAGCTTGGCTGGTAGCCAGATTCTACACCCAGATTTGTAGGCACAAATCATCCTCTAGAATAAAATAGTTTACTAGGGGAAAGCTGATGTTGCCCTTGGGGCGCCTCAGGGTCAATTTTTATGGTAGCCCAAATCTCAGGTGTACGCGTATATGTACAGGTATATATCTCAATTTTAATTCAGGAGCTACTGCTGCAAACTGCTCTAATTGTATATTTTATCTTTATGAATGCTGTCATTGTGTTATACAAGCTGGTCTGACTGTAATAAATTATCTATTATTTATTAAATTTCTATTCAAGCTTTCATCTGAAGATCACATGGAGATTTGCAATAGATTTGGAGTTGGAGTTCGCTTAGAAGAGCATTGTTTTAGGCAACTGCGCTCAAAAAACACATCTATTATGCAGTTCAGTTATTCAGACATCAATGATTCAGTCAATCTCAACCATTTTTCCAGGGAATGTTTAACCAAGAGTGTCTGTTAATGTTTCACTGAGAATGGCTCACTTCTGTTGGGCTGGTGGAATTCTACTGGAAATGTTCACATATTTTACTACAAAACACTTGGAATAATATAAATTCATTAATATTTGCTGAAGTCCTGAAAAAAAATCAGAGCTATTATCAAATTTCACAAATGCATTCCCTGTGCTGCTGCTTATTGTTCATCTGCTCATCTAGTGAAAGAAAATGGTATTACATTCGTGTTAAAAAAGCAGGGTTTTATTTATCTCCTCAAGCAAATGAACCGGCATGCATATAAAACAGGTAAAAGCAATCAATAAATCTTTGCATGTAACCTGATCCTGAAATTAGTTATAATTGCAAGAGAAAACATCATTAAACATTATAGGCAGGTCTAAAAAATAATTTACCTGAACAAAAAAACCCTGGGACAACAACCTTTTCCACCTTAAAATTCGGTGGGATGGGCTTATTTGTTTTTGCCAGTGAATTGCAAAGTAAGGGAGCTGTTATTGAAAAAGCCCTGTAGTGGGAATCTGCCTTTCTTATCCTCCAAGGTAAAGCCTGAGCAGAACCTTATCAGCTGCTCTTGAAAAGGATTAAGTGTGGGATAACCAGCCTCATACAATCAACATACTTAAGTCTGATTAATGCATGAAGGGGGTAAGACCATAGAGAAAACTGTCTTGCCAGGCTTACCTCACTTTGGGAGCAACTAGATAATCAAGCCTATTGTTTTCTCCCAGTAGCTGAGAAGCTCAATATGTGAGGAGGTCTCAGCTGGTTGCTCCAAGGCCAGACCACATGGTTCCAACAAGCCTCTCTTGAGTTCCTATACCAATAAGTTAGGAATATTCACTACTGTACTTTGGAACTAAGCCAAGTTTTATTGCCTGTGCAACATTTTTCTGAATGCTGTTTGGAAAAGTACATGAATCTGGCCTCTGAAGAGTTTGTAAGCAAACCATTTTTAATGTATTAATATTTTATTGAAAATATTTAAATTAAATGAAATAAAGTGAAGAAATAAAAAAGGAATAAGTAAACCATTTTTAACTTACCAAACTTGTGGTCTTTTTGTATGCTAAGGGAAGAGGGGGACTTTGGAAGGCACTGAGCAGAGCATATTTTAAAGGTCTAACAGCCCATCTTTCCACATTTTACTTTGCTGCATATTTTGTGATTTTAAATCTCTGCTGGGGTTCTCTCACCAAAGAGTACTTGCCCCAAACCTGGGTCTAGGCATCCAGAAATTCTTGAGTTCCCAGTATTTGTTGGGGCAAGCCATGACTGTTAAAGTGTATAATATTGCTTTAAATATAAGATGTAGGTGTGGCCTTTGTAGAGTCCTCTTTAACCCCTTTCTGTTTTAACATCCTGAATGTAATTTGATATCATTAGCAAACTTGGCCACCTCACTACTTACCAAATACAGATCACGGGGTGGCCATGGACGCAGTTTTGAAAGGTAACAGTGACAAATGGCTGGAATCAAACAACCGTTTGGGGAGGGAGTGGCTATGAACACAGCTCAATATGACAAATGGTGTTGGAGGCAACACACAGGTTGCATTAAGAGGCTGAGAAACATAGGTGGGGTTTGGGGGGCGTTGACCATTGATGAAATTCTGAAAGTGATGACCAAGTTGGACTTGAAGCTGTAGCTTCTTGCAGGATGGCTGGGAAGCTGTTCTGCTCCTCAATACTCAGCCACACCTGTATCTTGAGGCAGCTGCTCCAGGAACTGAATGGGAGGCCCTGGTTTGGTCAAGGTCTTTGTAAGAACGGCAACTTCAGCTCAAGCAAGACAACGAACACCTCCTTGTAAGAAGCACAGGATTGAGAGGAGATGCTGTTAGGTAAGGATTTCTCACCTTCAGACTGTGGCTGATGCTCTAGGGAAGTTCATATGGTTTCCCCCCAAAGGACCCACATGGGCCCCTATATGCTTTCACTTACACTAAAGCTTGTGCTTGGTCTAAAATGATCTTTCTCACAGAGTCCACCTTAGCTTGGCGGTGGGAGGCATTTGACCTTCTCCAGTAGTTTCTCCCCATTCAGAACTGTCAGGTGAGTTCTGGCTGTTTCTTGGCTCTTGAGGAAATATCCACCAGCTATCATGGATATCTTCCTAATAAATGGCATGGCCAGGCCTGCCTGCTGGGTTTGGCCAGCATTCCTGACTATATACACACACACCCAGAATCATCCCTCTCTGCAGGAACCTGACCTTAAAGTTGATATCTGAAGTTTTCATTGCATTTGTGTCGTAAATCTGCTGGAATAACTTCCCCGTGGTAGACTGAGCTGTATTGATTGATGGCATCACAGTCTCCTTTTGTTAAGCTTCCTCAGCACTATGTATTTCTTCAGAATTAATAGAATCAATGGTAAATAATTCCTCATTGAAGAAAATCTGGGTCCAGACTAGCTGTCTCATTTTCCATTATGTTGAATCTTTCCAGATTCCACAATGGCAAGCCTTACGCAATGTGTTGTATTGACCTTTCTCAGGCTCTTGTTATCAAAGCTCACTCACAACTAATTAAACCTGGCATGTGATGATTCATCCTGCATGTTTGTTTCCTTTTCTTGTGAAAACTAGGTGGTTATGAAGCATTTTCATGGCAGCTAGCAATTTAAAATCCCAAAGAGACGACTTCTGTCCCTGTCATTCTGGTCCCTGCTCCTGCTTTATGATGAAAACAATGGACAGGATGCAGTCATATCCTAACCTCACTTAGGACCGATTCTACACAAACCTCTGAAAGATTCCCAACAATGTCTGAAGTATGTTTGGTGCCCAGGCTGTGGAACTTCCATTGCAGGGAACACCATTTAGCCCCCTCATTGTTGCTCTTCTGAACTAAATTTAAGACACCTTTTATTTAAACAGGATTTTGACCTGTCAAGTTTATATGTTCTATCTGCTGTTGTTTTTAACAGACTGTTTAACTTTTTGTTGATGTTGTTCCTAGTTGTATGTTGGTTGTTGTTAGCCACGTTGGCCAACGCTATGTAGCAATGGTGATGATAAAAATATTATTCCACCTCCTAAGCAGGGCAATGTATGCTTGTACACCTATTGGCAAAATCTGTGTGTGTTATATGTGAGGATTGTTAAACCTGCTTTCCCTCGTGCCATGGTCCCAATCCATATCAGGGTTCCCAGCAGCTATATTTAACCTTTTATAAATCTGAGATCCAGTCATGAATTTCCCACAACCCCATCTTCTTGTGCTGTCAGAATCATACACTGCTATGCCTCAAACAAACACCAAAAAGTGCCATTTCTTCTATTTTGTAAAAAAAAGTTACTTTGGTATTCATTAGTCTTAAGCTTCTTACATGTTTTCCTCAATATACATATTTCTGCATGGGCAGCGGATAGCCCAAATAATATGTGTATTGTTTTTAAATATTTGTTAATAACCTTTTACAAGGGGACAAGGGTGCCAGCTTGAATAATATATTGTGGGAGCCCCGGTAAGCCCTATCCCACATAATCACACGACACATTGCACACACACCATTTGAATGGAAATCTCCAACTGTGGGAGGCAGCCCCTCAGATATTTTACTGTGGGAGGCAAAGCCCCCATGGCCCCTAGGAATTGGCTCCTGTGCAGGGGGATTGCAACCAACAAGTGATCTAACTGAATGACCCTGTCCTCCTTTTCCAATTGCAGGATGCCTCCGCTGTAGCCATGTTGCTACTAACGATTGTTGTACTTTGTTGCAGCCCAGTTCCAAGACTGCATGCAATGTGGTCAACATGAGTGCATTGGTATTATTAGAACTCCAAAAATATAACTATGATGCAAGCTACTCTGCTAAGAGAAAATGCTCTCAATTGTCTGGACACAATAAGAAAGGCATTGTGTTTGGATTATAGAAGCTGCCCATTGTTCTGGTTTAAAGCTTTAAGACAAATCTTCGTTTCATAACATCACTGTAAGTTACTTACACTTGCAGGGTAGAATATTTATAAGGCATTTGAAGCCTCACTGGGGTTTAACTGTTCTTAGAGCATGGGGCAGCTCCACACTGGTAACATGAAAGGAACAGAGGTGGCAGAATTACAGGATATGTACAAAAAGTTTGTTCTAGAATGCCCCAGCGGAGGTCTCCATTTGCATGAATTTAAGTAGTTTTTTGGCATTACCAGCCAGAGTGAAGCATCTGAATATGCTGAGAATGCATTTAAATCCTTTGACACGAATGGGGTGAGTATAATTTTCAAAAACACTTGTAGATAACTTCTGTGTACATCCATCTGATTCAGGTTGGAGGCTTATTATCCTAGAAGCACCCAGCAAAAATTATGATTGTTCTGCCATTTCTCTTTGGATAATTTTAAAGATATTGATGTTTTCAAGTGATTGCTTTTCTATTAATGTTTCAGGATAACATGATAGACTTTTTGGAATACGTAGCAATTTTAAACCTAGTACTCAGAGGGAAACTTGAGCACAAACTGAAGTGGTCATTTAAAGTGTACGACACCAACAGGAATGGCTTTCTTGATAAGGCTGAACTAAGGAAAATGGTGAAGGTAAGAAGTCCTTCTAGAAGAAGAGGGTCCCCAGTAATGACTTGGCAGGATTATGCCAAACCATGAGATTGGTTGAACCTCTTTACCATGAATTATTATTGATTTCACTGCATCTACATCCCACCTATTCTCCAAGGAGCTCAAGGTGGTGCTCATGATTCTCCCCATCTTCACACAGTCCCCACAACAACCCTGCGAAGTAGGTTAGGCTGAGAGGTGGCGTCTGGAGGAAGGCAATCCAGTGAGCTTCATGGCTGAGTGGGGATTTGAACTCTGGTCTCCCAGGTCCAACAACCTAATCACTACACTGGCTTTTAGCTGAATCTAAAAGACTACTAAAAGAAATGTAAGCTGATTGGCAGGTGCGCTATACATCCCAGGCGTCAGATGAAGAACAGGGTGGGGGAAAGAGATCAGCCTTATGGCATGATTTAAGTCAAAATTTGAATGCTGCACAATGATCATATTGAAAGGAGGAAAATGAGAGATTGTTTTCATTGGTATCATTAATATGCATACACACAGCTGCCCTTTCCAATCTGACTGGGACACGGAAAGAAAGGGGCAGATTACTACTCTGGGACACAGACACACACACACACACACACACACACACACACACACACACAAATCTGGATTGAGAGTGGGGAGTAAGGAACTCCCAGCTCTCTTAGCAACTTTCTGTACTTGTGTAGAGAGGCTGCCTTAGTTTATAAGAACCCCAATTATAGAGAAAAGGATCAGTGCCAGAATTTTTGACCTGAAGTTCAGGTTGCATTGTCCAGGGCTTTGTGGATGCATTTCTCAGTTTTTCTGACTTGCTGTCACTAGTGTCTAATTTGCTGATGCTGCCTTGTTTCCTTGTTATGCACACCTCACTCACTGTCTGACACAAACTGCTCCCTTAATTTGCACCCTCCTCTGTTGGGGTGTACATGGTTTGTCCGTCCATCTGCTCCAAATGAAAACAGACTCATCTGTGGGAGTTTGACAAAATGATGCCTCCATTTAGGACACTGAACTACAGGAATAAACTTTATACTGGGTGCTGTATGCAGGAGTCTCCCAACCTCCCCTGGGAAAATAAATGGCTAGATACATGCAAAAGTGCTGATAGCCTATAAAAAAACATATGGGGAAAACAACCTCTAAAAACAATGTCAGGAAGAATAAAAGAATCTATGCCCATATTAGTCCACAGATAGTGTCTCACCCCAGAGAAGTTGCACCAGATCTTGGCCAGTGTGTGTGTCATTAATGCACATATAGTGGGAGCATTGATTTGTGCAAGAAGATTTATCATACATTGCTTAATACCCAAACAGTCTCTAAGTGGTTTGCAAAAGGATTTGCATGGACTGCCAGTTTGTTACCAGGCCAAGTCAAGGTTTTACTGCTGGTATATAAAACTGCTAACGGCTTGGGACAAGTTTACTTGCGACATTATCTTGCTTCATACATACCTGTTCAACCACTCTGATCAACGGAACTTGAAGTTTACAAATGCCATATAATGTTTGTTCTGCATTTGAGAGGAACATTTTTTTAGTGCAGCAAACTCTATCCTTTACAATCCTTTGCCTACTGACATTAGGCGAGTGCTCTCACTGCTGTATATTGATTTAGGTGCCTGCTGAAATCCTGTTTATTTCAGCAAGCCTACCCAGGCATGGGTTTTAGTTTGCTATGTTTGTTACTTTCTACCCCTGCCTTCATCCCCTTCCTCTCCTATTTCCCTTGTGTGTTGGCAACCAATTTGTAAGTGACTTTGTAAAGTGCCATGTATGGATGGTGCCATATAAATATGTGTGGGTTTTTTAATTATTAAATTAATTTTCCCCAGAGTGTCTATAACGTCAAACAAGGATGGGCAAGAAATATGGATACTCAGATGTCAACCCTGGAGGAAGTGTGTAACAGAATATTTCAACTTATGGATGAAAATAATGATGGTAAATGTACTTTATTGTTAGAATTATCTGTGGGCTTCCAAAAAGTGGCAGTGGCTTGTAAGTGATTGTGGGTCCATTTGCTGTAGAGGGGGAAGTGAGGGGCATATTGGGCTTGTCAGCCTGGGAAAGTAGCTTTTCTAGGAGAAGGCCAATCTGATCCCATACTTCCATTGCTTTGTGGGGTATCTTCCAGAGAAAAATGGTTAGGGAGTAAACCCTACATAATTCCAGAGTAGAGTCCCTAACACAGGTGGCGCCTTGTACACCTCCTTCCGGCAACTCCTGCAGCCAAGCTGTTGCCAAATGTATTGCTCTTTGGGACCACACCAGTGAGTCTTGTAGTCTGGGCAGCCCAGGACCTCCACACACTGCCCAGGTTTGTGTCCTGGGGAGGTCACTTTGGCGCGGCTAACACAGTGGTTTGACTTCACCCCTGAAGACGCACTCCTTTGTCTCCTGAGACAGAGAGATGCCAACAATTCCTCTTTGAACAAATATGTTGAGATATACTACCTGGGAACAATGCTGACCATTCGGAAAAAATGAACTGGCAAGTTTTAGCTTTCAGGCTCACTGCCAAAAAAGGAAAGTGCCAGGCTGTTTCTCCCCCAGCATCTGTGTCTTTTAGCTGTGCACTTTAAGTGAATGGATGGCTTTTGTATTAGGTGCTACTCCCATATCTGCTCTGAAAGTGAAGGGTTCTGTTCTGGACCCACAAAAGAGTGCTGGGCTCAACCCTAGCCTAATCATCCAAATACTCTGGCCTCTGCCTCTAGATCCTGTCAGGTACCACACTTTAATTTCAAGAGCCTGCAAGCTCTAATATTGTTGCATAACACAGTACCGTCAGTGCAGTCACATTTTCAGTATAACACAGAAATACTAGTTTTCAGACATATCTCTGCTCTTGACACATCACGTTTCAAGAACAGAAGACAAATATTTGAAGCCATTTGACTTGAATGTTATTCATATCAACAGACTGTTGCATGCTATGTGGCTCGCTAATTTGTGGGTGAAGATCTGCATTTTGAGAATTAATCATACAGGGCTTAAACCATGCTAGCCAGGAGTGAGAGGAACTCCTCTGTCCAGAAGCTCCCACATACCCACTGCCTCTCTGTAGCTTCCAGTTTTAGCACAGCAGCCTGGTCAGTTTTATACTAAAGCTTTGCTGCTGAGAGAGAAGTGCCCCCCAGGCTCTGCCTATTGTTGGATCCTCTCTCTCCCCCCCCAGGGAAACACATAACAGTTTGCAAACTATTTGCATAGCCCTCTCATTTTGCCTTCCAGTTTTTGGTTACACTGGTGTGTGACGGAGTCTTGAGCATTAGCTGTTATGGACGCTTGGTTGCTGCCAGTTATGCAAGACTGGCAAATGCCACTAACTTTACAGCTGTTTGTTCAGAGGCAAGTCCCACCTTATTCAATGGGACGTACTCCCTTGAAAGTTTGTTTAGGATTGCAGCCTAAGTTAATTATCTTGGGGAATTTGGGAAGAATGGCCAATCATGTAGAAAAGAGGGCTAAGCTTTTCTGATAATGCCTCAGCTGTGAGCTATGATATATACACAATAGAGGTTATCGAAATAAGATGTCTCAGGACAGCTGCTCAATTGCATAACTTTTTGGCTGGCAGAACAATACAGTTCTTAGTGACTCACTTAAAAAACTCCCTGGGAGGAACCTAAGATTCACCAAAACTATACAGAAAATAATTTTTTGACTTTATTGTTTATTAAGAAGTATCCTGATTAAAAACTGAGGTCAGTGGCTTGGCTTCAGGAAACTGCAAGTACAACATGCCCCCATGGCTCCTCTTGTCCTTCCATGTCTGACCAACAGTGGCTGGGAAGAAGAAGAGCTGCAAAGCAACACTCTGCACTTGTTTCCCCTTTCTGTTGCTCAGACTCCATTTCCCTTATGTAAATGGGAATAATACTGGCCTATCGTATAATATGATGGAGCTCAGCAAATGAAGTACTTTGCATGTAAGATAATATTCATTTATGGGTAATGATAACAGATAATCTACTTTGGTCTTTCCGTGGCAGAACAAGACTCCACTCTACAGAACACTTGCTCTGAAGCAAGGATGTCAAACTCAAAGAGCTCAGAGGAACAAATTCCATGCTTAGTAGAGGACCAGGAGTGTCACAGGCATATTTTCACCAACAAATGTAGTAAGATGCCAAACCACCAATTTCAATCTGATATACAACTAAAGGGCTGGGGGGCTTAAGCTCTATTTCTTTAAACATTTATAGCAGTAAAAGGGCAATAAATGAAATATTGCTGTGCTCTGGGGGCTCCTAAAGCAAATTTCCTGAGTAACCATAACTACTCACCCATCTGTGAATGCACAGCAATTCTCTTCTTAGAATATACACTGCAGTCACTACACTATTCAATAAGAGCAAATGGCAAGCCATCCCTTCCATGATACGAAAGGCGTTGGCTTCCCAGTCCCAAAGATGATTCTGACCTTTGTTGCGTACACTGGAGATTCCTAAAAGTTCTGATGTGTCTCCTAGCTTGTGTTTGATACCCTGATCCACTGGTTTAAGTTATGGCTGAACCTCTTTTAATCCATTTTTGAAATTATTCTTCCAGGAAAAATTTCACTGAAAGAGTTTGTTGATGGAGTGCAAAGAGATGAGTGGGTAAGGAAAATGTTGAACATAGATCCCACAGAATGGATCCTTGAACACCAAAGAAAAAAGAATGCAGATGAAAAGGACCAAACACTGGAGGAAAAAGACATGTCGTCAGACCTTCCCTAGCATTGGTTATTGTATGTGAAATATTTTCAGCATGATGGCACTTTGATCCCATGAAATGAAAAGTATAAAATGGATCAAGGCATTTTAGCTATTATATAATCTAAGCAGTAGTTATGAAGTTGAGTACTATCTCTTGATCATTTTCCAGAATAACATCTTTCAGATAACCAAGCAGAAAAAAATAGGTTCCAAGGGTATGTGATATTCTAACATATCAGAGATATTAACCTGAACATATTTCCAGAATATTTCTGTCTGAGAACAATTCCAAAATATATGTATGTAATCTGCTTTATTTAATCCACGTCACCAACATTTATCAGATCCTAATTTATATATTCAATTCATAAGGCATTAAATGCCATTTACAGAGGGTTTTTAAATAGTTCTCCTTTAGGAGGAAATTATAATAGAATGGAAGTTGTCCCAAATCCAGTTCCATTGTTTCCTGGTTATTCTTTGACCCAAATCTTGCACCCATTTTCTCATATATGCATCCTAGTTCTGATCAAAGCATAACCAAAGGTCATAGAATCTTGCAATTATGCCTTCATTCAAATAAGAGAGAAAAAGAATACTTTTTGAGCACTTGTCACAGTGGGAGATGAAACTCATTTCCAAGGAGTATGTACAAGGAAACCAAAAGAGAGCCGACTGAATCTTGCTAGGGAACTACGGTAGTTTAATATTTCATAGTGCTAGCATGGTTTGGGGACTAGTACAGTGGTACCTTGCGTTACATACGCTTTGGGTTACATACGCTTCACGTTACAGACTCCGCTAACCGAGAAATAGTGCTTCAGGTTAAGAACTTTGCTTCAGGATAAGAACAGAAATTGGGCTTCGGTGGCACGGTGGCAGCAGGAGGCCCCATTAGCCAAAGTGGTGTTTCAGGTTACAAACAGTTTCAGGTTAAGAACAGACCTCCGGAACGAATTAAATACTTAACCTGAGGTACCACTGTACTGCATACATATGAGCTTGCATTTGCACTCTCATAATTTTTCAATAAATACAAATTCATTTTAAAAAAATCAAATGCTTGTCCTCTAAAGGAGCGTCAACTTATAAAGATGTGCTGAAATTCATTTTGCTTCAACAAGTCAGAATGAAGCAATACATACTCATATAACTAGCTAAAAACAGCATTGTGTGTGCGTGCATCAAGAAAAGCAACTGCTGTGCCTGAACAGCATTTCCAGTCACCAAAAAAGAAAGCTGCATCAGAACAAACTGACTCAAGGCTGAGCCAGGCTATTTTAAGCAATGAGCTGTCAAGCAACTACTGCGATCTCCTCCACCCCCCCAAGCTTAGGCTTAACTTGTATGGATGCTCAGCAGTACTTAGCTCTGGAATCTCTTTTAATTAATAAAAGGAGCCACATAAAGTGATAATGAAAAAAAAGGTACAAGTTGAATTCTTTTGAATGACCCCTACCAGTTTTCACACATAAGAAAAATGCTTTTCCGGGAAGAGAAATACCCTGGCTCAAGAAGCACTTCACTTAAAATATAATGCACTTCTGCAAGTGCTTGAGGACAGCAACTATCTTTTTAGAAATTAAAATTTTCCTCCTCACACTTAAGAAGCTTCCAGGCTTTTGCTATTTTTAAGCAGGATTCAAGCACATACTGTCAATTCAGGTTGCTCAGTTATCGTTGTCTGGGAGGCCTTTCACAGCAAACCTGCTTCCTTAAAAGACTGGACTTTTTGCAACAAGGAATGTGACAGAAAAATGCACTAGAAAGTATGGGATAATGCTTGCTTTGCTGCAACCTCACTTAATCTCCCCACAAACAAATGTGAGTAAAATGCATATTATATTGACAATGTTGCCTGGTCTCCCTGCAAAAGTCAGGACGAATGCTCAATAAATGGGATGCCTGGAAGTGTGAAAAGAAGCTGCAAGTTTAAATGATAATAATAATAAATAATAAATTTTATTTATTTTTTAAAAATATTTTATTACATTTTCACATACACATTCAGAAATATAATAACAATAGTAAAGAAATAAAAAAGAAAAAGAAAGAAAAAGGAAAAAATCCAATTTTCAGAAACTTTTTAACATAACCAACCGGACTTCCTCACATCTCCCCCATCATGCGTTCCTTACAATAAAAATGTCAACAAATTATTACCTTGTTTCATATCTTATTTTGTACCTTTCAAATATTATATTTTTAAATTTAAATTTTTTTTAATCAATTACTTGTACCTTAAATCCACCATAATATTACTTTAAATTTCAACCTTTTCTCACATATAACTTAATTTCCTGTTTCATCAAATCTAATTGCTGAAGCTAAAATTTCCAAATCAATAAATAATAAATTTTATATCCCGCCCTCCCCAGCCGAAGTTGGGCTCAGGATGGCTAACATCAAATATATAACATTAGTATAAAATCAAACAAGAATTAAATTACCTCCTAAAAGCAGTTAAAATCAAATTAAAGTCTAATTAGATGGCTTTCCGCAGGGTTAGGGTTGGGAACAGTAAGTGCTCATTGGCCCAACTGTTTACGTTGATCTTATATGGGCATGTGAGAATGCTGGGAGGCCTCTTTCATATTAGTTCTTATACAAAAAGAAAAGGGGAGTCAGGCTGAGCCCTGACCAAAGGCCTGGCGGAACAGCTCCGCCTTGCAGGCCCTGCGGAAAGATGCCAAATCCTGCAGGGCCCTGGTCTCTTGGGGTAGAGCGTTCCACCAGGCCGGGGCCACAGCCGAAAAGGCCCTGGCTCTAGTCGAGGCCAGTCTAATTTCCCTGGGGCCCGGGATCTTCAAGGTGTTGTTGTTAGCAGACCATAAGGTCCTCCGTGGGGCATACCAGAAGAGGCAGTCCCGTAGGTACGAGGGTCCTAGGCTGTATAGGGCTTTAAAGGTTAAAACCAGCACCTTAAACCTGATCCTGTACTCCACTGGGAGCCTGTGCAGCTGGTATAGCACTGGGTAAATGTGATCCCGCGGCGAGGACCCCGTAAGGAGTCTCGCCGCAGCATTCTGCACCTGCTGGAGTTTCTGCGTCAGTTTCAAGGGCAGCCCCACGTAGAGTGAATTACAATACTCAAGCCTGGAGGTGACCGTTGCATGGATCACAGTGGCAAGATCAGGGTGGGAGAGGTAAGGGACCTTTGGGGAGGGAGGAGGAGAGGGGATGAAAATGACTCAGTAATGTTTATATTACTGAGTGTTTTGAAATCATGAGCTTTTCCTGGGCTACACATTCCGAATGAGTGAGAGAGGACCTCTAGTGGTGGTTCTAGAATCCATGGAAAGGAAAGAAAAAGTGACCTAAACAGAAGAGAGTTGGGTATTACCAGTGCTTTGGGGGGCAGGTAGGCAGGGGTATGCATATCTCTAAATATATTGTGAATCTTTGTATGTACTTTTGTCCATTTACTGTATTTATTTTTCCCGATTCAAACTATAAAATGGTGGTTTTCTTGAGTCAAAATGAGAGCACAGCTAACCTTTTTTTAAAAGAAAAAAGAGCACTGGGTATTACCATATTTGTTGAAAGAACAAATTTGAACATGGCCTTAGAATGGTAAAAAGTATAGGCTGAATATATGAGAAACTGAGTAACCAACCAAACCTATTTTCTTAATAAAAGATCCGTCGTTGGCAAAGCCTCGCAGCCAGCACCACCCCATACACTGCTGTAGCCAACAGAGTAACTTATTAAAAATCATAGTCCTCTTTTTCGAAAACGCACGTGCATTTCGAGATCCTCTGAGCAGCGCTTTCTCCACAGCCCACCCCAACCCCAAGCTCGACCCACGGCTCGAATTACAGGTGGGGAGCAGAAGACTCGGCTCACGACGCTCTCCACGCTCCCTTTAGCTCTCGTTTTCCGCATGCTACGCGAAGAAATGACCTGCATTAAAATCGGGATACGAGGCTTTTGCCTTTCCCCCCGTCTGTCATGACACCTACCGGCAGGTGGGTGGATGGAAAGAGTTGGCCCCACACCGCAAGGGAGGGGGAAAGTGGCCGGACGGGTTTGGGAAACCCTGCTCGCCGATTGGCTGCGCTCGACGCCCCTGCGCACGCACGCCAGGTTCGCGCGCGCACGCACGCACGCACAACACGGCCGTCACGCCGAAAAGCGACCCGGTCCCGGCCAGCGGCCTTCGCTGGTGTGTCGGGATGACTCTCCCGGCTGGCTCTCCACCTGGAGGAGGCCGAGGAGGAAGAAGAGGAGCAGCGGCGGCGGCCTATAAGGTCCGGCCTGCGCCCGCTCGGGTCCCGCTGAGGCGGCGGTGAGCGCGTCGCTCCCGGCCGACACTCTTCCTTCCCTCAGGTGAGTTCGGGGCGCTGCCGGCCCCTCCCCCCCACCCTCCATCCGGGCTTCTGCGGCGAGAGAGAGAGAGAGAGCGAGGGTCGCCTGCCCAACGGAACCGAAGGGAGGCCCCGCCCCCTTCGCCCTTGGGGTTCTTACCTGGAACTCCGGGGAGGCAGGGCCGTTGTCCAGGAGTCCAGTCCGTTGGATGCCTTCGAGAGACACGGCTGTCCGTCCTTTGAGATCCTTCTCGAAACCGGACTATTTCTTGTCTCGAGAGAGAGATTGATTCACCGCCCCCCCCGCAAGTGCGGCTGTGTCGCTCAGCAGTTTCTCGAGCAGCCGAAGTCCTTCGCCCCACAACCCTTCGCGGGGAATGGAGGGGCAAAGGAAAGTCTCCTTAGCTTGGTTAGTCATTTGAGTTCTTTAGGGAGCCGCTTCCTTGTTTTAGTGGTGTTTGGGATTCACCTGAGAAGCCAGGAGCTGCTCCTTTCTCGGTAACTGCTCATTGGGTGCAGCGGGTGGGGAGTTCCTGTCGCCACTGCTGCCTTCTTAGTCATAGGAACCTCCGTCTTGGAGTAAGTTCTGTTGGACCAAGTAGGACTGACCTCTGAGTAGATATAGGACTGAGAGTCAGTTTTCTATACCCTGATGTGGTCTATGGAAGAAGCATTGGGTTGGTGACATCAAGTCAGGGCTGAAATACACTAGTGGCCAAAATTGTGGAAACCTTTTGGAAAAAGTGTATTTCCGAGGTTTGATGGCTAGTAACACCACTTTTATTTTGAGCAATACCATAAAATTATATATCAATGGAAAGATAATTTAATGATGAATGTAATGCAACAAGGTTTGTTCAATTATCTGTATTCTATCAATAGTTATAGCTATATAACCAGAAAAAGGAGTGTTTAGAGCAGGGGTCAGCAAACTTTTTCAGCAGGGGCCAGTCCGCTGCCCCACAGACCTTGGGGGAGCGGACTATTTTTTTGGGGGGAGGGGGGAAATGAACAAATTCCTATGCCCCACAAATAACCCAGAGATGCATTTTAAATAAAAGCACACATTCTACTCCTGTAAAAACACGCTGATTCCCGGACCGTCCGTGGGATATGGGAAGTCTGGATATGGAATTTTATCCATATACACCCCATTTGGAAGTATTCTGCAAGAGAACATGTAAAACAACACAGTATTCAAGTAATGCACACCTAGGCTTCTGAGTGATCTTCTCACTACCTTTGTGGAAGCATTTTAATGTAAAAATATTCCCCTGTAAAGATAAACCAGCTTCTAGTATGCCCTTTTCATTTGTGGATGAATGTGTTGTGCAACCAACCAATCAACCTGTGCT